TTTTTTTTTCCGACTGCGTGACGCATTTTTTTCCATACAAAAAAAATTGTCCAATATATTTTGTATTGAAAAAATTCTTTAGCAACTTAAAACTTATACTTTATTACCCTGGAATTTAATGGGTTATTAAACTGCATACTCAAACAAATTCTAAAAAATCTTACTAAAAAGCTAAATATATATATATATATATGTATATTTCTAGATACATATTATGAAAAGGAGGACCTTAAACCCATTCTTATTTCATCAATTTCTATTTTCTTTTTTTTATATTAATTTCCATCTCCCTCAATTCGTTTGCTTTTTTTATACTATCCTGTTTCATTTTCAACTCAGACTTATACAATTGCAACTTTTCCTTTTTCAACTCGTACATTTTCCGGGTGTATCGCTCGATACTTTCTAAGTGCTTTTCAATTTTCCTCATTTTTCTGGAAATTTCTTCATAAAAGTTTTGTTGAATATCAATTTGCTTATTTAACAAAGCTCCTTTCTGAATCCTAGTTTTTTTAGCTACTGGTTCAATGTTTTCTTGCTCAACATCTTCCTCCGAAACGATCTCATCTGTTTCATTTAGTTCCTCGGAAATTTGGCTATTGTTCGTTTTTTCTGCACCACCAAATGACGCTCCAGGTGGATTTACCATACTTTCGAAGCACATTAAATTTGCCACTGCGCTTTCCATACTCGAAAGACTTTTTTGATTGTTTATTCCGCCACCAGTTGCACGACTTTCTTTTTTGTTCAAAACTACTTTCTTCTTTACTTTAAATTTGAAGTCACCCCAGACCTACAAAGATACATATAAACACTTATATATTACGCACAAAGTATTTGTAGGAAATACCAAATTTCTGATTCACCAACCTTTAGCCAGCCTTCCCCATCTCGAACGGGTGGTCCCAAGCTATTGCATTTTTCAGCTATAGTGTCCCATTCCTTTCTAGCATCCAACTTCGCGACGCCTTTATGGAATCCCCTGGCCAATTGCGGATTTTTTTTCCATTTCCTGCACCAACAGGGCGAACTGATTTTGGGTTGTGACTTTTAACTAAAACAAAGAATTTCGAACGTCAAAATACATATATTTGCGCATGTACAGCTAAAGAAATTTTACTATTTACCATTTTTTGTTATTTCACAAGAACAAATTTGTCAGCTAAATTAGTTTTATTTTCTGTCGTGCACAAAAATTCAAACGAGAAAATTTGACGTTATTTGAGTCGTTGTATGAGTCGAAACGTCAACAGGAATGTCTTTTTGTAATAGATTAAGCCGATGGCTGCGACTCACGAAAACAGGAATGCCATTTTTTTTTTTTCGTCAAACGACTGTCGTTACGACAATCGGAATAGAGGTGATTATGAAAGTGAATTTCGTAGTCACTTTAGAATTTCTAGGAGCCTTTTCGCAAACTTAAGTGAACGTTTATTCCAAAGCGAATATTATCAAATGCTACGTCCAGACAAACGAAACTCAGAAAAATTGTATTTGCTGGTATTTTTGTGGTTCGCTGGCCATGAATCATGCAGTTATCGAGATCTAGCCGATCGTTTCGACTTGTCTTTGTCAACAATATGCCTAATTATAAATAGAGTCTCGATGTTTCTCAGCCCTATGAGCCCTCCACAATATTTCAAATGAAGAGGAAATTGATTTTAGTTCTGAGGTCATACCTGAAACTAATGAAGATTACTATTATGAACGTGGAGAAGTTTCGAGCGGAAACACTGTAAGAAATTCACTTTGTGAAGATATAATAAGACGGTCTAATTTTACTAACAATTAACAAAACTTGTAATTCAATTTATTAATTTTTTCCTTATACGTACACCATATTGGCCAGTTTAGTGTTTATTGTTTTTAAATGTGCATTGTTTATATAAAAAAAAAACATATAAACCGAAATTTCAAACTTTGTACAATTTTCACAAGGTGTGAAGTTTTTTTTACAATTTTGGGCAAAATTGTACGGTATGCAGTCTTATAGGCCAAAATATTTTACTATAACAAAGTGCAGGTTTAAAGTTGCGAAATAATCTTGTGGATTTATATATAATATATAATATTATCAAAAATCATATGGATTTATTATAATATATTAAAAATCCACAAGATTATTTGGCAAGTTTTAAACTTGCACTTTGTTATAGTAAAATATTTTGGCCTATAAGACTGCATACCGTACAATTTTGCCCAAAAAAATTCACACCTTGCTGAAAATTGTACAAAGTTTAAAATTTCGATTTATATGGTTTTTGTCTCAAAATGACCTATACTTTTATAAGCGTGCCGCCGTCATAACTAAAAACATTTGAAAATGTATTCTTCTTAGATATGTACTTATGTATGTATAAAAACAATTATTTTAAAAACTCAAAAAATCCAATTAAAAAAAGTATGAAAAAGCCAAAAACTTCTCACATTCTTTTTTCTAAATCATAAAACTTAGTATTAAGCAATATACGTGAGCCTCAGGATGTTGTGTTTTTTTGTAAAACCTTTTACATTTGCAAAAAAAACTTAAAAAAAAATTACCACATTGCAAATAATTCGCTGGACTAGTTGGACTAAGGCTCATTGTGAAATGACTAAACATATAATTGCAAACTTTACTAAACATTACTATAAATACTTTTAAAAAGGCACTTTTTGTTAAAAAAGTTAAAAATATGCGCTCGATATGCTTCTATTTCTTTAGGAAATGAACCAGATTTTCTAATATATCCAGCTTCCTTTTTTCCAGTTGCTCCTTCCTTTCGGCTCGCTCTTCCTTCCTTTTAAAAGATTTCTCTAACATCTCCTGCAGACATAGTCACTCTCCTGCTTCCTTTTCTCATACTCCTCTGAACTATCTAAAAAATTTTTCCAAAGCAGTCTTTCTTCTTTTTGGTCTCGTCGGTGTAGTCAAGATTTTCTGTTAAATTAAAAAATTGTTGAATTAAGTATTGTTATAAGCGGTCGTGCATAAAAAATAAGCAATTTTTCTAAAAATTTCAAACCGTTTCGAATTTATATAAC